ATGATCGGACAACGTCCATTTCGGTTAACGTCACGTTTCCAAGAACGTATCTAGGACGTTAACCAGCGCATGACTGTATTGGGATTATTGTATTTTGTACTAATCTATAATATTGTTTTAGGGGTATTAAGATTTATATGATCGATCATTTGCCTAGTGTTAGTATATCTTATAAGTCTAATAAAAGAACTTCCACTAAATTTGTTCATTAGATAAAACCGTGGTCCCTCGGTTAACGAGCACAATCCGTTCCAGCAGGTTGCTCGTTAACCGAAAAACTCGTTAACCGAAACCATTGTTTCAATGGGTTTTGGGTAATTGGTTCCAGCTCACCGAAAATTGCCTAAATTCAACAAGAAAGGTAGAAAAGTACACTTACTTTGAGGTGTGTATGTAGAAGGCTCCTGGATGATGATGATGATGGGAATTTGAATGGGGGTGGAGGAGAAGGAAGAAGAGAAGGCATTGGGGTGGAAGAGAAGTCACCCCATGGCACCATTTCACCCATAAAATTTTAGTTCTCTTGGTGTATTTCAAGATTATTTTCTTTAAGTCAACACTGCACTGCATTATATATTGTTAATATGTAAAATATATTTCAAAATGACCAATAATTTGCTTGGAAACACAGAAAAAAAGTGTTTAGTTGAAGAGAGTCTCAAGCAAGATGTTACCTCCACTGAAAACAGAGAGAGACTAACGCCTGTCTGGTGTGTTAACAGGCTGGATGGCACGCCAGAAACTAGTTTCTTTACCTTCAATTATGTTCAATAATTGTTAAAATGGCTAAAAAAAAAGTTAATATTAAACTTTTAAAATTATTGAATAGTATAAACTTCTTGATATTTACTAAAATAGTAAGGAATTTAAGCCCTAAAACCGATTACTGTATTGGCGGACTAATACTACAGTTGGTGGACCGCGAAATGCAAGCGAAAACATGTTGAAATCGGCTCGTAAAAAACTCGTTAATCGAGGGATTGCTCGTTAACCGAAGTTAAGATTCTTATGGAAGGTAAATCGTTAACCGAGGCGCTCGTTAACCGAGGGACCACTGTAATATTCCTTGTTATTTTGTAAAGCCGACGGTGCTAGCTCAAACATGCACTGATTTCCAAGAAAATTTACAGGGGTGTTTCCTAGGTAAATACACAATACTAAAACTTTGAACAGCATTGTAGGACCATTTTTTTATGTTTGGAGGGCAGCGGTCACACCCTACTCGGGACATCCACATCAGTGTTTCGGTTTAGTAGTGAATGGTAGTGCTCTTTCCAGTGCACTTTAATTATGAAATTACCTTCAGATGAGTGGAGGGGGGCTGCGCCATTAGTGATTGGCCCATAAAATGGTTTAGTGGAATTGGAAAATTCACGCATTTTGTGCTGATCTGTAAATTTTTGTGTTTCACATGCTTTATTTTTAAACCAGTCGTTCTTTTGATTGCGAAGTTCCTGCTGGGCTGCCGATTTCTTCTTGCGGAATGTGTCAGCTATGGTCCGCAGCACGTTGATTGCCGGGTCATTTTCATCAAACCAGTCCTGGTGTATTCTTTCAATCATGCCGAGGGTCTCTCTGCAGGTTTTTTGTCATGACAGTGTTGAATATATCCCATTCGGCACTGGGATTCGTGTTGTTTGCTGTTGGGTTGTTTATAAGCCCATGTTCAAGCTGCTCTCTGAAAGTATGTGCTTCTGCTGGATCCTCCAGACGTTTAGTGTTAAAACCTCTTCCGGGGGCTTGCTGCCTTCGTTGTTTTGGGGTGACGTGAAGCCAGAGCTTGGCTCTGAGCCGCACATGGCATGGGTGATGAGGATATCTCGACGATCTTTTTCTCTGACGATGTAGTCAATGTGATGCCAGTGTTTGGATCGTGGGCTTTGCCGTGAACCTGAGGAGTACGCCGTTGGGAGTACACTTGCCTAGTCCATTTCTCCCTATGGTTCCCTGCCAAATGTTAGCATATCTACCAACTCTGGCAGTGAAAGCACCAAGGAGCCCAACCTTGTCTTCTCTGGGGATAGAGGTTAGCACTGTGTCGAGGTCGGCGTAAAAGGCCTCCATGAAGCAATCCTCTGCATCCAGTGTTGGGGGGTATGCACAGTAACACAGTCCTGAACACAGATGCATAACTGAACACAAGCTGGGGAATTCAATAAAAATGAGCAACTTCCCAGAATCCACAAAAAAAAAAAATTATGTTTTTAATTTCTTTGTTATATATCCCGATTTTTCATCTGCCGTGACAGGAGACAAGAACTACTCATTTTGTTGCCTGTTATGCAGGTTGGCTCTATATTCTTCTTGATGATCAGGGATGATCTTTGCAAGTTGAAGTTACCTAGCTGAGGCTAGTTGAAGTTAACCTCGCTGAGGTTAGTTGAAGTTACCTCGCTGAGGTTAGTTGAAGTTACCTCGCTGAGGTTAGTTGAAGTTACCTCGCTGAGGTTAGTTGAAGTTACCTCGCTGAGGTTAGTTGAAGTTACCTTGCTGAGGGTTAGTTGAAGTTACCTCGCTGAGGTTAGTTGAAGTTACCTTGCTGAGGGTTAGTTGAAGTTACCTCGCAGAGGGTTAGTTGAAGTTACCTCGCTGAGGGTTAGTTGAAGTTACCTAGCTGAGGCTAGTTGAAGTTACCTCGCTGAGGCTAGTTGAAGTTACCTAGCTGAGGCTAGTTGAGTTACCTCGCTGAGGCTAGTTCGAAGTTACCTAGCTGAGGTTAGTTGAGTTACCTAGCTGAGGCTAGTTGAAGTTACCTGCAGCTGAGGTTGGTTGAGATTGCCTAGCTGAGGCTGGCATTGGGATTACCTCGCTGAGGCTAGTTGAAGTTACCTAGCTGAGGCTAGTTGAAGTTACCTAGCTGAGGCTAGTTGAAGTTACCTCGCTGAGGTTAGTTGAAGTTACCTAGCTGAGGCTAGTTGAAGTTACCTGGCTGAGGCTAGTTGAAGTTACCTAGCTGAGGCTAGTTGAAGTTACCTAGCAGAGGCTAGTTGAAATTACCTAGCTGAGGCTAGTAAAAGTTACCTCGCTGAGGTTAGTTGAAGTTACCTGTTCAGTTGGTTAGAATTACTGGCTGAGGGGGTTGGTTGAGTTGCCTGGCTGAGGCTGGTTGAGTTACCTCGCTGAGGGGCTGAACCCCAGTTACTGGCTGAGGCTGGTTGAAGTTACCTAGCTGAGGTTGGTTGAGTTTACCTGGCACAGGGGTTGGTTGAAGTTTACTAGCTGAGGTTGGTTGAGAGTTGCCTGGCTGAGGTTGGTTGGAAGTTACCTCGCTGAGGTTGGTTGAAGTTACCTGTGGGGTTGGTTGAGTTGCCTCGCTGAGGTGGCTGGTTGAAGTTACCTGGCAGGCTGCTGTTGAGATTGCACACCGCTGAGGCTAGTTGAGATTACCTGGCTGAGGCTGGTTAGTACCTAGCTGAGGTTAGTTGAAGTTACCTAGCTGAGGTTAGTTGAAGTTACCTAGCTGAGGTTAGTTGAAGTTACCTAGCTGAGGCTAGTTGAAGTTACCTAGCTGAGGCTAGTTGAAGTTACCTAGCTGAGGCTAGTTGAAGTTACCTAGCTGAGGCTAGTTGAAGTTACCTAGCTGAGGCTAGTTGAAGTTACCTAGCTGAGGCTAGTTGAAGTTACCTAGCTGAGGCTAGTTGAAGTTACCTCGCTGAGGTTAGTTGAAGTTACCTCGCTGAGGCTAGTTGAAGTTACCTCGCTGAGGCTAGTTGAAGTTACCTCGCTGAGGCTAGTTGAAGTTACCTCGCTGTGGCTAGTTGAAGTTACCTCGCTGAGGCTAGTTGAAGTTACCTCGCTGAGGCTAGTTGAAGTTACCTCGCTGAGGCTAGTTGAAGTTACCTAGCTGAGGCTAGTTGAAGTTACCTAGCTGAGGCTAGTTGAAGTTACCTCGCTGAGGTTAGTTGAAGTTACCTCGCTGAGGTTAGTTGAAGTTACCTCGCTGAGGTTAGTTGAAGTTACCTAGCTGAGGTTAGTTGAAGTTACCTAGCTGAGGTTAGTTGAAGTTACCTAGCTGAGGCTAGTTGAAGTTACCTAGCTGAGGCTAGTTGAAGTTACCTAGCTGAGGCTAGTTGAAGTTACCTAGCTGAGGCTAGTTGAAGTTACCTAGCTGAGGCTAGTTGAAGTTACCTAGCTGAGGCTAGTTGAAGTTACCTAGCTGAGGCTAGTTGAGGAGATTACCTGCATGGGGTTGGACTGATTACCTGGCTGAGGCTAGTTTGAGTTACCTAGCTGAGGGCTAGTTGAGATTACCTGGCTGGGGTTGGTTGAGTTATCTGGCTGGGAGGCTGGTTGAGGTTACCTCGCTGAGGCTGGTTGGAAGTTACCTGGCTGAGGAGCTAGTTGAGTTGCACCTAGCTACGAGGGTTGGTTCAGTTACCTGGCTGAGGGTTGGTTCAGTTACCTAGCTGAGGGTTAGTTGAGTTGCACAAGCTGGGGTTGGTTGAAGGATTCTCGGCTGGGGTTGGTTTGAGTTACCTCGCTGAGGTTGGTTAGAGTTACTCTGTGAGTTGGTTGAGTTACCTCGGGTTGGTTGAAGTTACCTGCGCTGAGGGTTGGTCTGATTACCTCGCTGAGGTTAGTTGAAGTTACCTCGCTGAGGTTAGTTGAAGTTACCTAGCTGAGGCTAGTTGAAGTTACCTAGCTGAGGCTAGTTGAAGTTACCTAGCTGAGGCTAGTTGAAGTTACCTCGCTGAGGCTAGTTGAAGTTACCTCGCTGAGGTTAGTTGAAGTTACCTCGCTGAGGTTAGTTGAAGTTACCTAGCTGAGGTTAGTTGAAGTTACCTAGCTGAGCTAAAACCCATAAATATATAAATAGTGTGTGGAGGAAGTTGAGAGATGAGGTGGGTAATGTTAGATGAAAGGGAGAAAACAATTGTGCCCATGACTTTAACGGAGAGAAAAATAAAATGAATATTGTGTATATATATTTTATGTATTATATTAGGTGATATGATTCATAACTGACAGATGTGGTGGTTTAAGTAAGTAATGTATTTCAGGTGTGAGTTCTCAGCTGTGGTATGTCCACAACGGAACTGTCAACAAATATGCTCTGGGCTACGCTGTGTTGGTGCCACCCCAAGTGAACTCTCTCGCCTTTCGCTGGCAGGCCATAGATGGAAAAACGGTAAGACATGGTGTGGACTTGGTGTGTAACACTTTATATTAATCTAGTGTGTTCATGCCATTGAGTAGTGTATCAAGTACTGTACTATACTGAAGCTCTCCCACCTCATAACTTACCCTGAAGCTCTCCCACTTCATCACTCCCCTGTTACTGATAGTATGAAACACCTTTTCTCATACAAATTCTCTGTATATCCCTGCACTCTGTCTCAACAAGAATGTATACATGCTGCCTCACTGATCTTTGTGGAGATGCATGAATGCTTCTACAGCTGCACTGTTCTCATGCATGGGTGACCTGACACGTGAGAACAATGTTTCTCTTGTAATAATTTCTCCATAAAGAAGTGTAAGGCAGCGTGTGTATATGTTTTAACAACGCTCTAATGCCTCTTTCATCAATCATAGAACAACTTTTTGTAATATAAAGTTTTGACTTTTATATTTTCCCTTACGTACCATAATGCAGTACGTATTTCCACACATTGGTGTAACTGATTGTGCAAAATTACCTCCGCCTCACTCGAGAAATTGTATTAAGGTTCAATCATGGCATGATGTGTAGGTGTGTGGTGATGTGTAGGTGTGTGGTGATGTGTAGATGTGTGGTGATATGTGTAAGTGTGTGGTGATGTGTAGGTGTGTGGTGATGTGTAGGTGTGTGGTGATGTGTGGGTGTGGTGATGTGTGTAGGTGTGTGGTGATGCATGTGGGTGTGGTGATGTGTGGGTGTGTGGTGATGTGTGGGTGTGTGTGGGTGTGGTGATGTGTGGGTGTGTGGTGATGTGTGGGTGTGTGTGTGGGTGTGTTGATGTGTGTGGTGATATGTGTGGGTGTGTGGTGATGTGTGGGTGTGTGGTGTGTGGTGTGTGTGTGTGTGGTGTGTGGTGATGTGTGTGTGTGGTGATGGGTGTGTGGTGTGTGTGTGGGGTGTGTGGTGATGTGTGTGGGTGTGTGGAGTGTGTGTGGGTGTGTGGGATTGTGTTGTGTGGTGATGATGGGGTGTGGTGATGTGTGGGTGTGTGGTGATGTGTGTGGGTGTGTGGTGATGTGTGTGGGTGTGTGTGTGTGTGTGGGTGTGTGTGGGGTGTGTGATGTGTGTGGGTGTGTGGTGATGTGTGTGTGTGTGTGTGTGTGTGTGGGTGTGTGTGTGTGGGTGTGTGTGGTGTGGTGGGTGTGTGTGTGTGGTGTGGTGTGTGGGGTGTGGTGTGTGGTGATGTGTGTGTGGGTGTGTGGTGGTGTGTGGTGTGTGTATGTGTGTAGGTGTGTGGTGTGTGTGGGTGTGTGGTGATTGTGTGTGGGTGTGGTGTGTGTGGGTGTGTGGTGTGTGGGTGTGTGGTGTGTGTGTGGGTGTGTGTGTGTGGGTGTGGTGTGTGGGTGTGTGTGTGGGTGTGTGTGTGTGGGTGTGTGGTGATGTGGGTGTGGTGTGTGTGTTGGTGTGTGGGTGTGGTGTGTGGGTGTGTGTGTGTGTGGGTTGTGTGTGGGTGTGGGTGTGTGGGTTGTGGGGTGTGTGGGGTGTGTGGTGTGTGTGTAGGTGTGTGGTGATTGTGTGTGTGGGGTGTGTGGTGATGTGTGTGTGGTGTGTGGTGATGTGTGTGGGGTGTGTGGTGTGATGTGTGTGTGTGGGTGTGTGGTGGTGTGTGTGGGTGTGTGGTGTGTGGGTGTGTTGTGATGTGTGTGTGGGGTGTGGTGATGTGTGTGGGGTGTGGTGGTGTGTGTGGGTGTGGTGTGTGTGTGGGTGTGTGTGGGGTGTGTGGGTGTGGTGTGTGTGGGTGTGGTGATGTGGGTGTGTGGTGTGTGTGGGTGTGTGTGGGTGTGTGGTGATGTGTGGGTGTGTGTGTGGGTGTGTGGTGTGTGTGGGTGTGTGGTGATGTGTGTGGGTGTGTGGTGATGTGTGTGGGTGTGTGGTGGTGTGTGTGTGGGTGTGTGGTGATGTGTGTAGGTGTGTGGTGATATGTGTGTAGGTGTGTGGTGATGCATGTAGGTGTGGTGATGTGTAGGTGTGTGGGTGATGTGTGTAGGTGTGTGGTGATGTGTGTAGGTGTGTGTGATGTGTGTAGGTGTGTGGTGATGTGTGTGTAGGTGTGTGATGTGTGAGGTGTGTGTGGTGATGTGTGTGGGTGATGTGTGTAGGTGTGTGGTGATGTGGTGTGTGTGATGTGTGTGTGTGTGTGGGTGATGTGTGTAGGTGTGTGTGGTGATGTGGTGTGTGGTGATGTGTGGGTGTGTGTGATGTGTGTGTAGGTGTGTGTGGGTGTGTGTAGGTGTGTGTGGGTGATGTGTGGGTGTGTGTGATGTGTGTAGGTGTGTGTGAGATGCTGTAGGTGTGTGGTGATGTGTAGGGTGTGTGTGATGTGTGTGTAGGTGTGTGTGGTGATGTGTGTAGGGTGTGTGGGTGATGTGTGTGGGTGTGTGGTGATGCATGGTGTGTGGGTGATATGTGTGTGGTGTGTGATGTGTGGGTGTGTGGTGATGTGTGGTGTGGGTGATGTGTGTAGGTGTGGTGATGTGTGTAGGTGTGGGTGATGTGTGTGTGGTGATGTGTGTGGGTGTGTGGTGATGCATGTAGGTGTGTGGTGATGTGTGTGTGGTGGTGATGTGTAGGTGTGTGGTGAGTGTGGTGGTGATGTGTGTAGGTGTGTGGTGATGTGTGGTGATGTGTGTAGGTGGTGATGTTGGTGTGGTGTGTGTGGTGATGTGTGAGGTGTGTGGTGATGTGTGTGTAGGTGTGTGGTGATGTGTGTAGGTGTGTGGTGATGTGTGTGGGTGTGTTGTGATGTGTGTAGGTGTGTGGTGATGTGTGTGGGTGATGTGTGTAGGTGTGTGTGGTGTGTGGGTGTGTGATGTGTGTAGGTGTGTGGTGATGTGTAGGTGTGTGGTGATGTGTGTAGGTGTGTGGTGATGTGTGTAGGTGTGTGGTGATGTGTGTAGGTGTGTGGTGATGTGTAGGTGTGTGTGGTGATGTGTGTAGGTGTGTGGGTTGTGTAGGTGTGTGGTGATTGTGTAGGTGTGTGTGTAGGTGTGTGGTGATGTGTGTAGGTGTGTGGTGATGTATGTAGGTGTGTGGTGATGTGTAGGTGTGTGATGATGTGTAGGTGTGTGATGCATGTAGGTGTGTGGTGATATGTGTGTAGGTGTGTGGTGATGTGTGTAGGTGTGGGTGATGTGTGTAGGTGTGTGGTGAGAGGTGTGTGGTGATGTGTAGGTGTGGTGATGTGTGTGGGTGTGTGGTGATATGTGTGTAGGTGTGTGGTGATGTGTGTGTGGTGATGTGTAGGTGTGTGGTGATGTGTGTGGTGATGTGTGAGGTGTGTGGGTGATGTGTAGGTGTGTGGTGATGTGTGTAGTGATGTGTGTAGGTGTGTGGTGATGTGTGTAGGTGTGTGGTGATGTATGGTGTGTGGTGATGTGTGTAGGTGTGTGTGATGTGTAGGTGTGGTGATGTGTGTAGGTGTGGGTGTGTAGGTGTGTGGTGATGTGTAGGTGTGTGGGTGATATGTGTGTAGGTGTGTGGTGAGGTAGGTGTGTGGTGTTGGGTGTGGTGAGTGTGTGGTGAGTGAGGTGTGTGGTGATGTGTGTGAGGTGGTTGTGATGTGTGTGGCGGTGTGGTGATGTGTGTAGGTGTGTGGTGATGTGTGGTGAGGCGTGTGTGGTGATGTGTGTAGGTAGGTGCGGTGTGGTGATGTGTAGGTGTGTGGTGAGTGTAGGTGTGTGGTGATGTAGGTGTGGGTGATGTGTGTGAGGTGTGGTGACGTGTGTGTAGGTGTGTGGTGATGTGCAGGTGTAGGTGGACGATGTGCAGGTGCGTGGTGAAACGTGCAGGCGTGTGGCGACGTGCGTAGGTGCATGTGCAGATCGTGTGGTGCGCAGGCGCGTGGTGACGTGTGCAGGCGTGCGATTGCGCAGGTGAGTGATGTGCGCAGGCGTGCGACGACGCGCAGGCGCGGCGATGCGTGCGCAGGCGTGTGGCGACGCGTGCAGGCGTGCGGTGACGCGTGCAGGCGTGGTGACGTGCAGGCGTGTGGTGACGTGTGCAGGCGGTGACGTGCAGGCGTGCGGTGACGTGCAGGCGTGGCGACGTGCGGCGACGCAGGCGCGGCGACGCGCAGGCGCGGCGACGTGCGCGGCGCGCGGCGACGTGCAGGCGTGGCGACGTGCAGGCGTGCGGCGACGTGCGTGCAGGCGCGACGTGCGTGCAGGTGACGTGTGTAGGCGTGCGGCGACGTGCGCAGGCGTGACGTGCGATGCGTGGCGGTGAGCGCGTGAGGTGGTGACGTGCGGTGCGGCGTGCGTGGTGGCGATTGTGTGCAGGCGTGGCGACGTGGTGCGTGTGGTGACGTGTGCAGGTGGTGACGTGTAGGTGGTGGTGATGACGTGCAGGTGTGGCGACGCACGCAGGCGTGGCGACGTGCGCAGGTGTGTGGCGATGAGTAGGTGTGTGGTGACGTGTAGGTGTGTGGTGATGTGCGTGTAGGTGTGTGGTGACGTGTGGTGGTGATGTAGGTGGTGACGCATGTAAGGTGGTGACATGTGTAGGTGTGTGGTGACGTGCGTAGGTGTGTGGTGATGTGTAGGTGTGGTGGATGTGTGTAGGTGTGGGTGACGTGTGGCGGACGTGTGCAGGTGGTGACGTGTGGGCGTGATGACGCACGTAGCGGTGACGTGCAGGCGTGGTCAGGGTGGTGAGGTGTGTGGGTGTGTGGTGATGCGTGTAGGTGTGTAGGATGTGTGTGAGGTGTGTGGTGACGTGTGTAGGTGTGGTGACATGTGTGTAGGTGTGTGGTGATGTGTGAGGTGTGGTGATGCGTAGGTGTGGTGATATGTGTGGGTGTGTGTGGTGATGTGTGCAGGTGGTGACGTGTGTAGGTGTGGTTGGCGTGTAGGTGTGTGGTGATGTGTGTAGGTGTGTGGTGATGTGGGTGGTGTGTGGTGAGGTGGGTGGTGATGTGTAGGGTGTGGTGATGTGTAGGTGTGGTGATATGTGTAGGTGTGGTGATGGTGAGGTGTGGTGACGTGTAGGTGTGGTGATGTGTGTAGGTGTGTGGTGATGTGTAGGTGTGTGGTGATGTGTGTAGGTGTGGTGATGTAGGTGTGGGTGATGTGTGTAGGTGTGTGGTGATGGTGTGTGTGATGATGTGTGATGTGTGTAGGTGTGTAGGTGTGTGGTGATGTGTGTAGGTGTGTGGTGATGTGTGGTGGCGTGTGGTGATGTGTAGGTATGTGTTGAGGGTGTGGTGGGGTTTGGTGATGTGTGTAGGTGTCTGGTGATGTGTGTAGGTGTGTTGTGATGTGTGTAGGTGTGTGGTGATATGTGTGTAGGTGTGGTGAAATGTTTGTAGGTGTGTGGTGATATGTGTGTAGGTGTGTGGTGATTTGTGTAGGTGTGTTGTGATGTGTGTAGGTGTGTGGTGAGGTGTGTGTAGGTGTGTGATGGTATGTGTAGGTGTGTGATGGTATGTGTAGGTGTGTGTGAGGTGTGTACGGTGTTACTGGACCTAAAGATTAATGTCATGAAACCTGAATCCCAAATCTTAAGAGTAACAGATTTATATGTATGTTGGACATACACAGACTGAACCATACAGTGATGTAGGACCTGTTTCAAGGCAACTTTTCCTGGTCTCAGTCTTGGTAATGTTCATGTTTGGTCTTTAGAGTTTTGCTCAAGACCTTTGTTTTTGTATTTTTTTTATTCATTATGTTTGTTGGGAGGAAGTTGTCAAGTGGTTATAATCATATTTGTAGGCACAGAAAGACAAAGTTTCATGAGTAATCAGTCTGGCAATGACCACCATTGTGACCAGCTTGTAGTTATTGTTGTTTGTTGAAGTAATAAATATTTCTCATGTTTTAAATAAATAGAAAAATCAAGTACTACAAGTACAGTAAGTATTGTACTGTACTTGGATATGATCAATGTTGGGTAAATATATATCACCCTCAATAGTTTAGAATAATTTATAAAGTGTATTATTTATTTAACCACATTTATATGATGAAATTAAGTAAAAATTGCAAATCATTTGGTTGTTGGTACTACCCTTGGTTGGTAAATATTTGAGTGTTTTAAGGTAACACTGCCCTCCGTCACTCACATTTTTAACCCCTTTTAAATATCATACTTGTGTGAACTAAGATCCTGATTTGTTAATAAGAAAATTTCCCTTCAACTCGGCTAATCCCCTGGCATATAAAACATAGAAATTAAAGTGTGATGGGGTAGACACAATAACCATTAACATAGGCTTACAATCATTATTACATAGGTATAGACACAAACTTAGTGGTTCAATTCACTGAGGTCAGGTACAGTATAGGAATAATTTAACATTTATTTAAAAAAAATTGCAAAATAAATAGAAAAAAAAGCCCCATGGAATATGAGAGGAACAAATGATATCTCTGGTATATGACCATCAAAGACAATAATGGTGTCAGAAAATTAATTACAGATAGAAAACTTAATTTGAAACTCTCATACAGTATAATACTTGAAACTTAGGATAAACGCTTATGAAATTGTGTAATGACAAAGCAACATAAACAGGTTGTGCTTAATTATATATAGTATACAGGTGAATCCCGATAACTGCCGTTCAAGCGGATTCACAAGACCAATGATTAGTACATGTAGGGGAAATACGCAAGTTTTGTTGATAACCCGGAGATCTAACGATCAGCAAAGTTGGCATGGTGCAAATTGTTGCCACCAGAGGGCTCTGTATACTGCCCCTGACTCTTTCCCGCCATCTTTGCTTTTGTTTACACTTACTATGTGTCTCTGACTTTTGTGTTTGTTACTGACTTCGTGTGTTACTCAACTATACCTAAACACCCCAATGATAATTTTGCTGGGCAACTTGATGTGACGTCTTAAGGCTTAATAAGACCTAATAAGGCATAATAAGAGTGGTGATGGACCAGCAGAGAGTGGTAGAAACTTGAACTTGCCACCCTAGACTGTCCTCAATACAGGTAAATAACATTCTCAATTTATGCTTTACATTGCTTATTTAAGTCTTATTATGCTTGCTCTATGTCTGCTTTATTTTCTTGTTTGACAGTGTGCAGTACAGAGATATATCAAGGGTAGATGGGAGGGTGGCCGGTCCCTAACACCCTGAATTGGTTATGTTCTTATGGGATTAATTTCTTCAATAACCGTTGATTCACTAACCAACCCAGTTCCTCTATGTGTGGGTTATTGGAGTACACCTGTATTGATACAGTATAGCAAACAAAACAAAAACCTACACAGGATCAGTATCATATTACACAGCAACAGAAAATGCATTCTGTATATTTTTTCTTGATGCAAAAAATGTAACTTAAATTGTACAGTCCACACTTATCCACTTGTACCAATGTAAAATGACTCCCATAAACTATATCTGACAGACTGCCGGAGCTTCTAATGTACTAACCATTTTAAGTGGTATGGGATCATCTGGTGAGGATATAGTCAGGTCATCCATAAATGATAAAATTATGAATGTTCTTGGTCTCAGAAGGCACCCACTCACTCAACACAGAGATAAGTTTTGTTTGATGGAGGCAGTTGTGGCTTCTGAACAATTCTTAGTGTTTTTGGTTCCTCTTACAGTATATTGTATGTAATGAACCCAGGCCTCTATACACCACTACAGAACACGAGGTCAGGTACCAGGCCTCTATACCTCCACTACAGAACACGTGGTCAGGTACCAGGCCTCCATACACCACTACAGAACACGAGGTGGGCATGTGTTCTATACCTACTTACAGAACACGAGGTCAGGTACCAGGCCTTATGCACCACTACATAACACGGTTGTGGCAGGGCTCTATGCACTTACTACAGAACATGAGGTCAGGTACCAGGCCTCTATACCCACTACAGAACACGAGGTCAGGTACCAGGCCTCTATGCACCACTACATAACACGTGGTCAGGTACCAGGCCTCTATGCCTCACTACAGAACATGAGGTCAGGTACCAGGCCTCTATACCTACTACAGAACACGAGGTCAGGTACCAGGCCTTTGCGCACTACTAACACGTGGTCAGGTACCAGGCCTCTATGCACTACTACAGAACACGTGGTCAGGTAGTTATGCACCACTACAGAACACGTGGTCAGGTACCAGGCCTCTATGCACCACTACAGAACACGTGGTCAGGTACCAGGCCTCTATCTACCACTACAGAACACGTGGTCAGGTACCAGGCCTCAACTATTACATACAGTGAGCCTTACTTGTTGATGTGCCAGACGTCATTCATGTTCGGTTGGATGTACCTGTAGTGGCTAGGTGAGCCATTGATAGCAATGTAATTATTTTTTTAATTTTAATGGTTGAGGAGTAGAACACAAGATGGATGGGTGTAGTTCAGTCAACTAATTGCTTTATGGACAGTTGCTGTTTTCCATTTGATCATTTACAATTAATTTTACAGATGCCGTATAGCCTGGCCGTTCACATTAGTAACCCTGAGGCCATGTCTAAGCCAGTGTACAACATCAGTGATCGCGGAGTTGTACCCACACCCTGCTGCCTGGACCTGGTCTTGCCTGTACGGGCAAACTTACTACACAGGTACAGTAACTCACTGTTTGTGTATGCGTGTGTAATGCTGCGCATGCGTCGTAATAATAATCCAATACAGTCACCACTTACGCGGTCCCACATTCGCTGCTCGCCACGCTGTGCCCTGCCAGAACCCAGGATGCTCACATTCTGCGTGTGGGTGTACCTTTACACGGTGAAGTATAATTTTTAATTTAGCTCAAAATTCATACAAATTATCCGCCAGAATATAATTACATTGCTGAATTTTACAATTTGCGATCATTTTGAATATAAACATCATAGATTTTGCATTAGACATACAAATTTTAGATATAATGTTTACTTGAGTAAATATGTTATTTTTGCAAAATATATGATATTTATATTCAAAATATTCGGTCTACAAGGAACCAGCAATTATTATATTATCCTAACTTTAGTCTGATTTATTATTTATTACTAAAAGGTAAACAGTCTGGTTCTCACACATTTATCTAGTAGGACGTTGGTGGGGGGAGGGAGAGGGAGGACCGGGCGACCGACCATCTGTTACCTGAAGAATATTTTTTTTTTTATTACTTGAAGAGTTTTATTTTAGCTCATAAAATTCATACAAATACCGACCAGAATATAATTTACATTGCTGGAATTCTTACAATTTGGTGATCATTTTGAATATAAACATCATATATTTTGCATTAGACAAAATTTTTAGATAAAATGTTTAATCTGAGTAATGTGTTATCTTTTGTGCAAAAATATTGGACGTTTATATTCAAAAAATATCTGGTTCTTACAAGAATCGCAATGTCAATTATATTATCCTAACTAATCTGAGGTATTATTTAATACAAAATGTTAAAATCTAAATTTTTCACCCAACATCTCTTGAGGGAGGATTGGTGGGGGTGGGAGAGTTGGGACTGACCGCGCCCGGTTGGAAAGAGGGGAGGAGGCAAGGTGGGGTACTTTGATTGACAGATAGTGTCGTGAAGAATATTTTTTATTAACTGAAGATATTTGTTTTAGCTCATAAAATTCATACAAATTACCGGCCAGAATATAATTTACATTGCTGGAATTCTTACAATTTGGTGATCATTTTGAATATAAACATCATATATTTTGCATTAGACATAAAATTTTTAGATAAAATGTTTAATCTGAGTAAGTATGTTATCTTTTGTGAAAAATATATGACATTTATATTCAAAATATTCCTGGTCTTACAAGGAATCCGGCAATGTCAATTATATTATCCTTTAGTTTGAGGTATTATTTATTACTATACCTGGTTTTCCCCCAAAATTTCTCAGAGAGGAAGAGCGGCAGTGTAGTGTGAGAGGGAGAGTCGTGTCCATTATTTGAATGGACATTAACTTGGCGACTGTATTTCTCTATTTCTCTTAAGTATTAATTGTGTGCATGTACCATCATAAAATTAAGATGTTATTTTTACTACAACATAGTTATGTGTGGGTCAAAAAGTGGAGTTTGGGGATCGGCCTGGACTCCATTTCAATTAATCCCATATGTTATGTTATTCACTTTACTGTTTCTCGCTTTCCGTGGTACCCTCCGGGTTACATTAACACATAAAGTGAGGGTTAACTGTAATAATAATAATTATAATAATAATTATAATGATTAACAGTTTATTGAAAAATACAGCAGCCATAAGCTGAAAATGTACCAGTACAGTGGTCCCTTGGTTAGCAAGCTTGTAGTTAACGAAATTTCTGTTAACAATTCATAAAAATTTTCCCAACATGTTTTAATACCTTTCCAGCTGCTCACCAGCTGTAGTAATCCACCAATACAGTAATCGGTTTTAGGGCTTAAATTCATTACCATTTGAATAAATATCAAGGCGATTGTACTATTCAATAATTTTCAAGTTTTATACAGTATTAAATTTTTAGTCATTTTAACAAATGTTTAACATAATTGAAGTACAGGAACTAGTTTTAAGCGCCAAACAGCCACTTGACTCACCCAGAATGGCGTCAGTGTGTCCCTGCTCAGTGGAGGAAGCATCTTGCTTGAGACTCTCTTGAACATAAACTGTTTTATGTTTTACAGTACAATTATTGGTCATTCTGATGTTTGTTTTACATATTGACAATATATAATGCAGTGCAGTGTTGATTTAAAAGAAAAATAATCTTGAATTACACCAAGTGAACTAAAATTTTATGGGTGAAATGGCGTCATGGGGTGACTTCTCATCCACCCAATGCCTTCTCTTCTCCCTTCTCCTCCACCCCATTCTAAATCCCATCATCATCACCAACAACCAGGAGCCTTCTACATGCACACCTCAAAAGTAAGTGTACTTTACTGAATTTATTTTTAGTTTGTATGTAATTTTTCGTGAGCTGGAACCAATTACCCAAAATCCCATTGAAACAATGGATTCGGTTAACGAACGACCTTCTGGAACAAATTGTGTTCGTTAACCGAGGGACCACTGTATACGTAATTGACACGTTTGGTTTCTCGTATTGTCGCTCAATTATCCTTCTCTCAGCCCTCGCTTCTAAGTAAACTTGTCAGGTTTTTGGTAGGTAAACTTACATCTTTGTAAGTATTAAATCATCTTTGAATCTGGTGAGCAGACAATAGGTATATTCAGTAATTTATATATATTTTTTTGCACACAATATCAAAGAACATCTTCATGACTCCTTATGGTACCACAGTACGTCAATATTATCCTGAAAACTTTACTATACTATCATATGTCTTATAATGGATAAGGTACATTCTTGGGGCTGGTCTGCTGAGTAAAATATCCATTAAAAGAGGCCATTATAACATGGTGCATATGGAGATGGGTTCTTACTAATAGCAAAATTAGTCAAAATGATAAATATATCCCTTTAAATACTACTACAGTGGTCCTTGGTTAACGAACACAATTCGTTCCAGAAGGTCGTTCGTTAACTTGAATCCATTGTTTCAATGGGATTTTGGGTAATTGGTTCCAGCTCACCGAAAATTACATACAAACTAAAAATAAATTCAGTAAAGTACACTTACTTTGGGGTGTATTGAAGGTTCCTGGTTGATGATGATGATGATGGGAATTAGAAGTGGGGCTGGAGGAGAAGGGAGAAGAGAAGAAAGTGGGGACAGAGGAGAAATCACCTTTCAGAGGACCCTTGCTTGATGTAGTAATTTCACCAAAAAAATTTTAAATTCACTAGGTGTAATTCTAGATTATTTTATTTAAATCAACACTGCACTGTGCTATATATTATCAATATGTTAACTAAATTTCAGAGATATTAATAATTTCAATGTAAAAATGCAAAAATATTCAAGACACCAACAAAATAGATGTTTACTCCACTGTCCAAAGCCCAACTGGCGCCTGGTGGCTGAGTCAAATAACTTGATGAGCACAAAACTAGTTCCTATGCTGCATATTATCAATATGTTAAATAAATGTTAAAATGACTAATAATTTTAATATAAAAATGCAAAAATATTAAAGGCATGACCTTCTTGATATTTACTCCACTGGAAACGAATGTAAACATAGAACAGATTACTGAATTGGCAGACTAGCCATCAGCTGATCAGCTGATCAGCTGAGGTTCACGACAAAATGTGTTTTTCGTAAGGATTTCGTTAATCGAAGTTTTGCTCGTTAACTGAATTGAAGATCCTTATGGGAGGTAATTCGTTAACCGAAATTTTAATTCGAACCGTTCGTTAACCGAGGGACCACTGTTTTCTCTTTCAGAATTACTAAATAATAATTAAATGGGTCAAAATAGGCTTCAAACATGAGAAGAAAAGTTGCATTTACTTAGAAATAAACATGATTTTCCACCACCGTCTACATACAAAAAGTAAAAATTACCTTATTTCTTGGCATATAAGCCGAACCCCGAATATTTAGCTGAAATATCAGTTTTAGGCTGATGTCGTGTGTATCCTACCCAAACTCGACTCATTATGAGCATTACCGTTATGAGCGGTTTGACGGTCGATACTGCACCGACTCGCCTAAGTGGTTACCTCTTATCTGTTTACCACATTCTCTCCACTTGGCATTTTCCATATCTATGAGGTGGTTGTCTTTAAACCTTATGGTAAAATGGCTCACCACTAAAAGCGAATGAAATCGTATGTCGTTCAAGTTTAAAGTTGTAAGATTTGCAAAGGCATCAAACAACTCTTGCAGCTGCAAGAGAATCGGCGTTAACGAGAAGCAGGTTAGAGTAGAAGAAGGCTGAAGAAAAGTTAACGGACATCCCCAGAACAAAATGTGCCCTAGAAGAGGTAAACAACAGTGGCCCAACTAGAAATTATTCAGTGGGTCAGGAACCGAGAGTGGATACGCCATCACCGAACGCATCATGTGTATTCTTAAATGAAGCTGGCCAAGTCAAATCCAGACACCGTAAAGACTTCAAGGCAACAAGAGAGGGCTTAGGTCGTTTCTAGGAATAGAAAAGTTAGTATTAAGACAGAAAACTAAAATCACACAGAAGTTACCCTGTGACCCGGAGAGCATAATCCATCGTTTTCAATGGTACATTATTCAAATACGGCACAACCACAATTTCCCTCTAACCTGTATCGGGAATATGGACGAAACTCCCGTGAACTTTGATACGATCAGCAATCGAACGGTGGAAGCAAAAGGCTCGAAAACTATTTTGGTGAAGACGACTGGACATGAAAAAACGCTTTACGGTGATTTTGAGTTGTATGGCAGATGGAACAAAGTTGAAACCCATGATCATCTTTAAGGGGAAAACAATGCCAAAAGTTAAGTTCCCGGCGGGGATGTATGTGCACGTGCAGGAGAATGGTTGGATGGACGAAGAAGGAGTTAGGCTGTGGTTAGAACACATTTGGAGTAGAAGGCCAGGTGGACTGAGGAAAGAGCGTAGTTTGCTAGTGCGGGATATGTTCCGGTCTCACTTGACTGAGCCAGTGAAAAATGCTTGAAAAAACATAACACATACTGCAGTAATACCTGGTGGATTAACATCTGTTGTTCAGCCTCT